GGTTGGAAAAAGTGACAATCAGAAGAAAGATTCATCTTTTAGTCCTTGACAACTAAGCACCAATAAATTTCTCCAAAAAAAATTGAAACAAGTATTCCCAAAAATAAAGTCTGACAACACAAAAAACTTCAAATTCATTACTTCCTCATCTTTGTACAACAAAACTGCCATCCAGAAGAAATTCTCAGCAGAAAGGGTTTTTTTCTTCTTGGGTATATCAAATAAAACTTTAGAAAAATGTTTTAAGAAGTATTGAATTGTGTTTCAATCATCTCCATTATCTAAAAACAGCAATTCAGTGTCATTCCTTTTGCGAGCCCAGACATCAAGACCTTCATATTCTTTGATACAAGCCTAAAAAGAGATCAAACCAAAAATCAGTTTTCAATATCTCTTTTAATCATTTAAGTAACCCCAAAACAATGAATCATAAAGAGACAACTTCACATACTATAAGTCACATGCTGGGCTAATCGTTCATCATCTTCTCGTTTAGGTTTATCTAGTATCAAAAACATCAAATTGACTAAGTAATGCAGCTGGTAAATTGATATCATCTACTGGACTGGTTTTTGAATTTTATTGACCATGGAGTGGATTGGCTGCTGCTAAGATTGAGGCTCTTGCATTCAAGGTAGTAGTGACACCTGCTTTCAAAACCGAACTCGTTTGTTGTCCCATCACTTCAGAATCGCTGTTCAATCAGATTTGTCCATCTTAACAAATCCATCAATACAACAGATTCCATGACCGGCTAATACTAAACCTCCACCCTCTAAATCAAGCAAAGATACATAGTCAATATTCAAAAAAGTTCCAGAAGATATACAGTTCAATAATTTCTTCGTGTTCCCCATCCAGATGTCCTGAAGTTACTGGTATATTGAGAAAAAGTCGCAACAATGCTTTTGAGTAAGTTTGAGTGAAGGTGTATCTTGTGAATGACTGTGCAAGAGAGGTTCCGGTTTTGAGCGAGCTTCATCAGCCATTTGAACGGCAGGTATGTAGTGGTGTTTGATAAAAGTGATCAATAGCCTGGAGAATCTTTAGTGACTATGTATGTACATACATACACGTGAGCTGTACCAGGGTTTGGCGCTTTCTGCACAAAAACAAAACCCAGCATCATTTATTTCAAAACTCTCAGTTCATTGAGGTTGAAGAGGTAGTGTAAGTTCATCATAGTCTCAGCATCAACGCTTGGTCACACTCATTAGGTGTTGAGATTAAGTCAAAGGCTGATCTTTGACTGTATAAGCCCTTGTCCTCAGTCGGCGCTGAACATGGATTTTGTTTGAAAACGGTTCAATTGCGAGCAAAACTGTAGATAGCATTGTGACCTCGACGTCGAGGACGCATTCAACGGGCACTGTGGCAGACCTTTTCAAACTAACCTAATAATCAGTGCCAATACATGAGCACTCTTCTCCTGTTCTAAGGTATGCAGACCTTTTCGAACTAACCTAAAAGTTTCGGAGGTAATAATAAATGTGAGAAACAAGTTGAGCTCGAAGGCTCGTAGATAATGATCTTTAAGGAGTTCTCTTTCCCAAAAGATAATGTTTATATTACTATCAACTAACCTAATAATCAGTGCCAATACGTGAGCACTCTTCTCCTGTTCTAAGGTATGCAGACCTTTTCGAACTAACCTAAAGAGTCACAACACAACAACATAATAAAGAAAAGCACTCAAGATAAGAAACTAATAGTTGGATATCAAAGTTAAGAAATGTACCTAGAAGTTTCAGAGGTAATAATAAATGTGAGAAACAAGTTGAGCTCAAAGGCTTGTAGATAATGATCTTTAAGGAGTCTGACAATGTTGACAATATTAGTATGCTAACGGTAGTACGAGAATTTAGAAAAATGACTTACTCTCTTTCCCAAAAGATGAGGAAAGAGAGTCAGGAAAGGGGGCAAACAGACTATACATAAGTGAACTCAAACAAGAAACGAAAACGGTTGGGATTGATCAATGTTAGTGTTGATTGGGATTTCTCATCTGAGACTAGGAACAACACAACGCTTCTGTAACTCTACCATAACCGGTCATGTCTTGATTGTATATCAACATGTTTTTATCTGCATTTTCTTTTTGTCAAGGTAAGTCAATAGAATGGAATAAACAAGGATATCAATCAAACACGTGGATTGCTATTGTCATTGTTTTGTTGTATGATAACAATTGAAGATAACAAGAGAGACCTGCAGAAAAATACAGGGACATTCCAAAAAGTGTGACTTGAACTCAGGCAAGGAACATTTTCAGTGACCAGACACAGCACAATGAACCAACTGTGCTATAACAATGTTGGCTTCCCTATGCTTACTCTTGCTCCCAACCCATTCATTTGTGAAGCATATTATGTGATCTGGCACATAAGTTGCACACCTGTCACAACTTTACTTCCTGGCTCACATACCATCTATTGATTTTGAAAAGGAGATGATTTTGTTCCTTTTCCAATTGACTGTAACTGTAGTGACCACATAATTGTTCTAATAGTCATCACAGGTATGTATGTGCTTGGGGCCAGTGGACTAAACTGGTATTCTGTCTTTTCTGTGAGTGCTTGTACAATGTGAACACCAAGAATATGCTGGGTTTACTGATTCAACTTCGATGTGAGCATGGTTTTGGGCAGTGTGGTAGGCCAATATGTACAATGAGGTCCAACTTCTATCAATCATGCCTGAGGCTCTGGCCCAAAGCCTCCTCAAGGTGGCCCACCTATCTGGTTAAGGTTAGCCACTGCCAAACCCTATACATGTAACAAACCCCAAAAGTTTTTTTACAGATTGAACCATTGCCAAAAGCTGTGTCATCCACCAGGACCACCAAAAGATCTGAGTGAAAAACATGATTGAAAGTGGTCAAAATTCCCAAATACATAGCATTAAAACTGGTCAAAACCCCAATTTTGAGGTTGATCAATACCATTCTTGTTGGTAGGTTTCTACAAAATAACTCATAATAAAAAGCCGTCACTCACCAATGGTACATCACCAATAACAGTAGTGTCTCTTACTTGTCCCATTCCATGGGATGGACTCTTCAGCGGGCACTGGCAACCTCAACCAAGTGATCAGGGGCGGCTGAACTCTAAAATTCCTAATCATTGACAAGAGTTACATTTCTGCTACCTTATTGCATGCCAATCTGCACCAAGTTCATACTCAAGGGGGGAATGTCTCTGGCATTATAATGTCTTGGAAAAAGGCCTTTGACAAACATCAATCTGTACCTATCACATCAGTAGGTCCAAACTCAAAAACTTGACCCTCAAACCCCCTAGCAATACTGAGCACCCAAAGCTCTCCTTGTCAGCTCACGGTCTAAATGACCCTGGTTCAGCATGGGCTGGCCTGAGCAGCCCTGGGTCTAGGTCAGATCCTTGAGCAATATTGAGTGAAATTCTACAATGACAAGCTTGAGTATTTTATACCTTTGATGATGGCAGTGGATTGAGATGCTGGAAATTTACAAGGGTGGTGCAGCCCTGGTGACTTCCCAGGACTACTCTTTAGTGTCAATCAGATGATGTGATGATTGAATGTTGAGATGCCAACAAGACCATTCTGTTCACACCTATAAGATCTCAACCTAACAGTAATTTGAGTCAACAAATGCCTTGTGAATCACAGTAGAAAATGTACATTCAATAGACAAGTCCTCTATGCCAGGGGCAGAAACTTTTGCAGAGATGTTCCTGAAACTGTGGGATTGTTGTCAAACATTTTTGAGTATGTTCTTTGTTTTGATTTTGTGAGATCACAAAATCTAAATTTATCGCTACAAATTATCACTTCATAGTATAACAAAATCAGAACATGCACCCCCAGTCTAAAACAAGACCTGCTTGAATTTTGTCAAATAAAAGCATGATAAATTGAATATCATAAAAGATTGGATACATGGAACATTGATTGGGATTACAAACCATTGATTGGGTGTACTCACCTTAAGGATATCATATGTGTATTCCTGAAGGACTTTGACTTGATTGGCTCAAGGTCAACCATTGTGATTTTGAGCTTTACTTTTTGGTTTTTTTAAGAACAATGAAATTTGGTTGATCTTTGCTTCCAAAATCACTATTTTGCATCTTTTGAATCAAGATATGCATAAATGTCATAAATCAGAACACCTATTCAGGTGTCCCAAATCAAAAATTTGTTGGTTTCATGAAGTTTTGTTATGCACAACTTCTCTAGATGTTTAAGAAATACATGTAAACAATTGAACTTGAAACCCCTTGATGTATATTATCCACAAAACCCCTGGAAAGTATATACACACCTCTGCCAGCCTCTGCCTATGCAGTACCAGACAACAGGTGCTTGCACCAATACATTTTTCTACCTGTTGCTGTCCATCTCCTTGATCCATAGGTGTTTGGACTATTAATGTGTTTGAACACAAATGAAATTTACGTGGTATAATCTCAACTTAAGTTATCATCTTTGTGATGGGTCTTTGTATAATTTGCCCAATGATTTCAAAATCTTATGGTCTTCAAAGACTATTCCTGCAATCATAGAAGGGAAAGCAATAAACCAGTGTAAATGTCTACCAGTCAATGGTTTTTTGGCAGACTTATTTGATACATCAATCTGCCAAAACCCAATGCCTGGATAGTGGTCCCCAGGCCGGCAATCATTTAACAATTGGATACATTTTAACCCCGTTCAAGATCGTTGTAAAAAAAGATGCCTCCAAATTTGCCCTTTGGCTTCTCTGCATTCACTCATGTGAATGTTAAAATGTTTGACATTGTGAGATGATTTGCAATATTTCATCTGACAAATCATTAGGATACTTGATTGTAATAGTTTGGCAGTTTGATCTTGTCTCAAAAGCCCGGATTCTCGATCTCAGTCCATGTACCCCCTTACAGGCCTGGGCAGTTATGATAAAGTTCCAGGCCATTATTTTCAAAAATATTGTATTTTTGGCACCCAGGCAAATATTCCATGATGCCGCGTCAAGGTCAATCTTTGCAGAATGTTTTTGAAAACGACTATGTTGGCTACTAGAACAAAAATTTGAATGGGTATCCTCCACTGTAGATAGAAGACATGGTCAATCAGTAAACAAGAGGGGCGGAGAAAGAGAAGGAGGAAAAGCAACTGACTTTTTCATACGGAAAATGTTCATCAAAAAACTTGACGTGGTCAATAAGACGCCTAACCAGACATAAATTGCAATTCGCTGTCGAACAGGATCATCTAGTCTTGAGACAGTGAATGCTAATGTATAGGCAGCGAAGGCCGTAATACCATCTGATCATAAAGAGTGAAGATCAATAAAAGTAAGGCTTTGTCTGTGAGGGAGCGTGAAAATCTCACATAGAGCTGCAATCAATTGTGTTTCTACTCCATACTGATTGCTGTAACCCGGTGCAATGTATAATGGGGTACCACCTTGTTGACGGGTCATATACGGTGGGTTTCGAATCTGGTTCCACATCTGTCCTCCAGTCATCAACAAGATGAATGGCTGATGAATTGAGGAGAATTAAATCTGTCAGTTCTAACAAAGCTTGTGTTCGATAGGGTTTCAGGGGATCAAGTGAGCACATACAATAGTGATGACGGCCCAGATGTATCGACTACCGAAGATAAGAGAAAGAATAGGCCATGCGACTTTTGCAGTGATGAGGGTAGCAAGTACAACACAGACGGTGGCAAAGATTTTGCCATAGTCAGGTGGGCGCTTGAAGAACTCGGGAAGATGGGCGGATTGACCAGCCCATTGACTGAATTGTTCGGCTGTAAGGGCTGCTTGTCCCCCTCGGTTGAAGTCATAGCTGGCTACTTCTGCTTTAGGATCGGTGATTGCTTTGGGACCAACGTTTGGCAAGAAGTTACGGGCCTGAGGTGCTGTATTCAGTCCAAGCTATGATCCCATGAATGATAAAAACATCATGAGTACATCATCCAAAAATCACAGCATCAAAAAACTCGAAAGCCTAAACGGAAAGATGAAGCAAACCTTTTGGAATGTTCCCTTTCCTTCCTTGAAATCGAGCATCGCAAAGAAATGAGAGTCCCGGATCGCAGCAGGCTGTTTTTGCCATTGTTTAGCGATCAAATTGTACTCAACCTCGAACTTCCTAATCATCACATCAAAAGACACGTGAGCTCATCAGACAATTTTTTCAGTCAAATACCGATGGATTAGCAAACTTACTGGCACGGCACACATTGAAATTGAGAGCCAAGAGCCGTGAGGACTACAGTTACTGAGTAATTTCTTGATCCTGAAACTAGTTCATCGTAGAGTTTATCATTCAAAGGTGCTACACCTTTTCCAGCTTTGGTGAGTGAGATTAATTTTGAGATTCGATCTGGTTTGGGTGATTTTGCGGCCTGGATAGAAACAGAGAAGTAAAGTAGAGAGATGAGATGAAGAAGTAATAACATCTCCGGTGTGACTTTCTATTTGATGAAACTGAGAAGTGGAAGTCGAAGTCGAAGTGGTTCAATCGATCTCAAGACGACTTCCACTTCCACGAGTCAACGGATCGGATATCTCGCGGATACCTATCAAAACACATCACTTTAGTCATTGATAGCAACGGTTGCTTGTAGATAACCCATAACCATCATCTTCACCCTCTCAACAAGGAGAGCATGCACAGATATTAACGAATCCGATAGGATCCTCAAGTAAGTCGCATTCACAGACACATAGATGTAAATATAAAGTATTAATTTTCAATTCGTGTAGGTCCGTCTGACCACAACCTCCAATCTCTACAATTTATGCCACCGTGAATGACTCGAGCTAACCCAAAAGTTCGGCCGCTCTCAACCCATAGGATTGTTTTGCACTTGATGGGAAAAGTCAATGGGCGAAGCTCGAGTGGTGATCCATATCCTTATATATGTCACCGCTTTCAAGTTGAGGTGAGGGGACGATGGCGAGCGTATCATAATTCAAACTGCAATGATCTCATTGAAATGACGTCAATCAAGTTTTCGGCAGATTAGGACCCCTCGATCCAGCTCGCAACATCATCTGGAGCTCTTAATTCCTATCGTGACTTCTCAAACATGCATGACGATAAGTAAATTTTTATTTTTATTGTGGACTTTTTGTCCTTGTGACATATTATCCTTTCATGTACATCATGCCTCTAATTCGGTATGAATGAAGAGAATTTACGTCGCCTTTTGCGTTCCAGTGCTTCTCCTTCCGTGAAGCAAACCTCCTTGGAAATCTCAAAATTCAACTTCATAACTGAGGAAAAAACTTGGTGCTGTATAACTTTATTGGGGCTGATTGTTATAGGGACGCAGAAAGTCAATCTTTCTGACTCATTGCCTCTTTGGGGGGTACTTGCACCGCCTACACTTGGCGGACACCGCTCATAAGTTTATAATAATCGTTCACATATCTAATGTTTCTATGAGACTTTCACTATTGAAACACGACAAGGAAATCTTATCAATCGAACGAAAAAAAATCTCAATCATGTCGATGCTAGCCTTATGACCTGAGGTTATGTGCGAGTCGCGAGCTTGTTGCCTTGCTTATGAACCTTGTCAAAATCATAAATTTCTGATTTGTGCCTCAGATGATGCTCATCATGTATGTACATATCAAGTTGGACTTGAGGGTATTTGTTTTTGTTCAGAACAGCTTCCAAACAGCTACAGTTTATCAAGCTTGCATTTCGTCTTTCCATATTCACAGGATGGTTTCACTGCTGAATATTCTTGTGCCACCGCGTGAAGATATGCGGTTCGTGACTATATACCTGAAACGATCGTAAATTGACATTGCCTCTTGATCAGGCCACCCGCTTGTTTCAATCGATCAAATCACTCTCGAAGATAGATGAGGTAGAGAAATCAACGTACCCTTCGGGAGATCGGGAGACGTATTTTCATGGCGGTACACAAAAACAAACTCGTGTATGATGTAACGCTTTCTCATCTGGCCAAGCCTCGAGATAGAAGAAGAGCAAGCCAATCAGCTCAGCTCTCCTCCTTGCGGGTCTTGTACACTGCATCATCTTATGTGTTCAATTCATATATCTACTCCCACCTACAGGGAGTCGCAATTTAAATTTCGATCTAAAGTGTGCCAAGATAAAGGAGGTTGAGATAAGTGCGATGAGGCAAACTTAACAAAAGTCCCTCGCTGGCCAGTAGAGCCAAAAAACGAGGGACTTTTGTTCAGTTTGGCGATGAGGCTTCAGGTGACCTTCCCCCAGGGCTGCGAGAGGTCTTCACCGCAGCTTGGCCTCAGCGAAGAGCACCGCAATATTTTGAAACGCACAAATGAGCATCGCAAAAACACCACAGAGTAATCATATGGGGAATTTTGTGTCGGGTTGAACTCGATGAAAGACTATTGCGCAGTTTCACTTTTGTTACGCGGCTGCGAGTGTGCACCGCCGACGCCTAGATAATATGTTCATTGGAGGGTGATTTTGCTAATTCGTATCTCTTGCTCTGAATTGTAGCATGGTCCAAGGCTTGAGTAAATACAGGCTGATAGGTGAACAATCATTCTCAAGAGCTGATAGAGAAATGTCAGATCAAAGCTTGTGTTTAGAAGATCTGTGTCACTGAGATATATGTTTGATTCTGAAGCACGTTTAAGGGAAGAACAGCTTGGATGTAATCATATCAAAGTCACATTTGCAAAATGCTGATAAGAGGCCACTTTCGCATTCAGGGAACCACATTTCATATTCCAACTCATTCATTTGTTCATTTTACTATTTCAATTTCCAGTTATCATAGGATATTTGACGCACAGGCTTTACAACACAAGACAACACGTCATTTCAAACAAGATCAGCACAGAAAAACAACCACACTTGATCTTCGTGTTAATTTATACCGTTTTCGTCTTCATACGCTCGTGGTATTTATCTATATTCGCTTTCAGTGATCAACCTTGCATACTTACACTCGCTAGTCATTATCAAAGGCCCACATTGTTCAATATTTCACAGAACATAGCCTTCTTGTTTTTTAAATTACCTCTGGTACTCTACCGCATCATTTGACATTTTGTCGCATATCTATATCGATACCTATATATATACGTCAACCACCTCTTTGCTCCTCAAGCTCTTAGTATAATTCTGAGGTCGCGTATTAGATTGACTTCACAAATCTAATCAATTACTCTTTAACCCGACCGCCCAATACACTGACGGTTCGTCTTTACTTCAAAACCTGGACTGTGCTCCCTCGTTTTTTCCCCTCAGAACTGCGTTCGATCTTGTTATCTTTTACGATTTTCAACCTCGTTCTTACCTTTAGAAATTCCAGTAGTGTCACTTGATTTTATCCTTATAGACCTCATAAATATTCTTATCTACTGGAAATTCCATTAGAGCTTTTTTATGACCATGGAGCATTGGTATTCTTCGGTTTCTCAAGATTTAAAAGTCCCTATTAGCTCTTTGTCTGACCCTCCAACGGCTCATCAAGAATCTTTGTCTGCGGAGCACGCCGAATATACTTTGTCTAACATGTCTCCTCCATCTTCACGTTGTTCGAGATCTCCTCCTCCTCATACTATGACTCAACACCCTAAGTTAGAATGTTACACTCATGACACCGACCTATATGGCTATTTCCCCGAAGAAGCGCGTCACATTCCTAGCGCTCAGTCGACATCCGAACAGCTTCAATATCATCAATGGGAATTAACTCGACTCATCAGCTCGTCACAACCGAGTTCAGCTTATATCACCGAATATGCTCCATCCCCACATCAGTCGGTTCCACACAATACCTATGCAGTCGCTCCTTACGACGGTGCTCACCCTGATAGTGATAGCATTTCAGGGTACGCGTCATCATCTTCGCCTCCATCTACAAGCGCCCAAATCAACAATCATTCCAAGCAGCCTTATCACCCTTCGTTCAGTAAGAATTACATGGTGATCCATCAAGTTTTTAAACCTATGTGTGGCGAATTCAAACCTTGCGGAAATCCTCACGAAATTGCTAGTCATCATCAAGCTAGGGGGATGCCGAAACCCCATTGTTCTTCTTTTCTACCGATGGGTCAAGCTGAACTAGGAGGACCTGTACGTGCGCGTGCCGGAGCAAAAAAGTCAACCAAGGAGAATGTAAAGCGTTTCCCATGTAAGTAGAGCTAATGTTCGAATAACATATCTTATGATGAACCAGACGCTGATATCCAACCTTATCCTTACAGGTCCAGACTGTGGTAGAATGTTCGCAAGGGCATTCAACATGGAAACTCATCGAAAGACTCATATCGGATACCGACCTCGTAAGTTGAAGTTCAGATTCCTATCGCAATCCAATTTTCTATCAACTAACATCTCTTGGGATCCGCTTCTGCCTTTTTGAAAAAAGATCAATGCCCTCAGTGCCATAAGAACTTTTCCAGAAGACACGATCTTCACAGGCATCTTGTCGCTGTTCATAATGATCATACTAAGATTCCGCTGAACCCTAGCAAACCTGTTAGCTCTAGCTCTTTCAACATGACATCAGTTTGATTTGTCTTGGACGTCTTGGTCATTAGCGAGATCAATCATCCGCACCTAGGCTCAATGGTGTCCAGATTTTGCACAAGCTATACTCTATCCTTGCTTTACATATTTATTTGCTTGAATTTATCGGAACACTTATTAAACTGCATACAAGAATAAAAAAGAAGAACTTCAGGGGCGAAGAAAAGAAAAAAACATGCTCTACTAGTTTTTGGAAATGATTCTTTAGAAAGATCTAGGATCCATTTCATTTACTTTCATTTCTAACTCTCTGTAGCCATTCTCATAGTTCACAAATCCCCGTTTTTTGTATCTCGTCTCATTCTCTATCTTTTTTTCGGGTCATTTCAGGTTATTTATTATGGGAGTTGCAGGTCTTCCTTATATCTATTCTTCATTTTGTCGAATCATATCTCATTTACCATAGTCTGCTTGTAAGCAAATATCCCATTGTATTCTTGTAGACTACCTCTTCTCAATGGATTCCTGTTTCCTTCGTTTGCATCACGTTCTGTCTATCGTTAAGTTTGAAGTGTATTACATCTTTGTTGTGAATTCTTCAATTTAGAAACATCTTTGGGTAATTTTGGCTTTGATATCTTATTTCTATTTACTATTCCAGTGCCCTAAAATATGAGATTCTCTGTGGATCGAATGCCTTCTTAGTGTTGTCTGTATTCTCATCACGTATACGGTATATGAGATCAGAGGAAATTTATTGGTATTTCAGTGATGCATTTTTGAATGAAGGCTTGCATATTTCTTTCAGGCATAAGTTTTGAAACAAATGGAAACACTCGGAGTTACTAGCTGATGAGAAGGCTTCTGTTGAACCGGTTAGAGTTCTAAGCTGTCTTGAGATTTCGTTTTTGTTGCTTTCAAGAAATCTCGAGATTTTTTTGGCTACCTCCATGTTGTGAAGTTTGGACCCATATTAAGTTGATAAACCAATCGGTGCAATCTCGAAAGAATGAAATTTCTTTTGAAAAAATGGTTACGAATCTGAGTCCAGGTGTACCTTGAGCCCTTCCAATTTGATTGGAACAAAGCATTCAACTTTCGAAACCAGAAAGGTTTAGACGCCATTGAGAATAGTCCATGTCCATGACAGATTCAAAACCAACCAAAGTTCAAACTCTAGCTCTTGTACCCGGAACCTCCAAAATAGATACTTCAGATAAGTTGAAGCAACGCTTGAGAGATGATGCCTCATGATCCCAACCTTAAGCGGGGTGCAGGGAACACCATGTAAGTGGTAATCCTACAGAGGAGGCTACTTTCAGACAACACGATCAAGTATGGGTATGATGTCCATCACAAGCATCTACAGTCACAGTTTTGATCCATCCAGGGCTTCGTCACCCAAATCCTAAGCAAAAGGAGCGGTAATTGATAAAGTTGAATGGTCTGGACACATACTTTCGAAAAGATTTGTTGGCGGGTACCTCTGATGGGTTGCAACTTGCGGGTCGAGTTTGCTTCGGATCTCTGACCACAACTGCACCCTCAACTGAAATTCTCAAGCTGACAAAGATAGCTTCAATCGTTGGGCACTGTCGATTTGGACCCCAGTAACAAGTCTGACAAGTTCGTCTACGGTCATACGCGATGGCCGTCAAGTTTCCTGATAACTCAAGCACTTCTTCTGAACCTCAACCTAATACCAAGCGGATCAAACTGAGTCAAACCACAGATGCGACTGCTTTTGGTTCATCCGACCTACTTACTTCGGTTGCTCCACGCTTGAAACAAGAATACGAAGAAAGTGTACCATACCATCATGCTGTACTACAAGACATCTTCAATGATCAAATTCTTCGTAATGCGCGAAAAGAGATTAAAGAGAATTTATGTTTCACACCCAAGGAGACTGATATATACAAAGTAAGGCTAATTGATTCATAACCAAAACATTGAAGAAAAAACATTTATGTCGTTTTTTGTTTGATCCTTTTCAGATCTTTCAAACAGGTGCAGCATCATTTTTCGTGCGCACCATCTTCGCTTACGGCTAGCCCTGAAACAGAAGGTCTGAAGAAACAAAACTGATATCGTGACTTGCTCACTACAGGAGATCTAGCTAACTTGGATGGATTATCGGGTGAAGAGACTAATCAACTTCAACATGTCAAGTTGATTCGAGATAGTCTCTACTCTGAGGAGTTCAGAAACTTGTTACAATCTGTCACTTCATGCGGTCCATTATCCGGAAAACAGACTGATATGTCTATCAATGACTATCGCCAAGGCTGTCGTGAGTTTGATTGAGCTTGAGACTAAAGGATAGAACATGCGCCTACATTTCAAATTAACACCAATGCTATTCTGCCTTGTCCAGATTTGCTCAATCACGATGATGTGATCAGTACCCGCCGAGTTTCATTTATCCTCTACCTAACCGATCCTGATAATCCATGGGAAATGAACGATGGCGGATCCTTAGAGCTCTATCCAGTTGATCCAAAGACCAGTCAACCTTTACATACTCCATCTAAAAAGATCTTACCACGTTGGAATCAATTTGTTTTCTTTGTGGTACAACCTGGACAAAGTTTTCATTCAGTTGAAGAAGTTTACACGCCTAAGAAGAATCGACTGAGTATTTCAGGTTGGTTTCATTTTCCTAATGAAGGTGAGAAGGGATATGAAGAAAGTTTGAAAACGAAAGAGGAGGAAGATAAGAAATCCGAAAGCTTAGGGGCTAGTCTTCAACAACTTGTAAGTCACCATCGCTTTCTTTTCTGAGTCCGCGAGATAGCTCAAGTGGTAGATGTTGCTAGCTTGATTGGATGCTTATTTACCTGGTCTTTTGTTTTCATCTCCATAGACAGGCAATCAAGATCAAGACTTTACATTCCTTAACGAGCCGATTGTTGCCACTGAGAGCGCCTTCCTCACCGACGATGAATTTTCCTTCTTGTCAAAATATATCGACCCTAGCTACTTGAAAGCATCTGAGCTCGGCAAAATACGCAATAAATTTGTCGCAGAATCGACCATCAACTTGATCGAATTCTTAGACTATGGATTCTCGTGCGATCTTAAAAGTTCAATCCTTCTCAATGAAGCTCGTGATTTGGTCACACTTTCGAATTCAAAAGCGTCAGACCTTAATCCACCAGAGTTTAGTGGTCCACGATCCGAAATGGGTACACAGGTGAAAGGATGGGTAGTAGCCGGTCCACCACACAAACATCGTTATCTCAAGCCTGATCCCAATACATTAGCACTCAATCCTAGTACTCAAAAGCTAAACAAGTTGAAGGAATTGTTGGAATCTTCTAGTTTTCTCAAATGGCTAAGTATCATCAGTGCTTCTGAAATCTTGGCCCATAATGTTGCGCCACGTAGGTTTAGACCCGGTTTAGATTATACTTTAGCCACTGCCAACAGTTCACCAATCTTGGAACTTCACCTTTCACTTACTCCTTCACACGGATGGGAAGATGAAGAATTAGGAGGATGGGAATGTTATATGGCATCAACTGAAGAAGACGAATCAGATCCTGCTATTTATAATGCTCCAAAGATGGAGGGATCAGATGATGGTGATACGAACTTGTTAACCATTTATCCCACTTGGAATTCCTTCCACCTCGTTTTGAGAGATTCAGATATTCTTACTTTTACAAAGTATGTTAGTTATAAGTCTCCGCAGAGTAAATGGGATATCAAGGCTACTTATCAAGTGCAGGATGATGATGAAGAGGAGAACGAGGATTGATATGGTGTCCACTATGACTGTCTTTAATAAACTACTTTCTTGTCAAGCTTCTTCGTAGTCTTGGAGAGGTATGAAAAATGTAACCTGTTCACGACCTAGACTCACTTTTTACCTGGTCCTTATTGTACACGTCCCCACGCCTAGGATTTGTAATCATCGGGTTCGCGACAGGCCCCGGCCCCGCCGCTGCAGAACTTGAATGATTACGTAAACCACTTGGAGGGGACTGTACGTAATTTGCAAAGGAAGCGGTGGTTGCCTATCACACAAATCGCTGATCAGGATGAGATAGAAAAACATTCACTGCAACCCAGAATCCTGACTCGCACAGTTCTGACTACTGAAGCCTTTCAGGCTGTATGAAAAATTCCTTCATGTTTCAGTCTCAATGAGCAACACGGCAATAATATCCGTAAAATTTGAAAGTTGTTGCATATAACCACGTGTTGCGTAGCTATTTTCGTCCTGGCTATTACATTTGCTAGAAATGTTGTCACCCCTGGCACATTTTCATCACACGAATTTCGCCGCAGCTGCTGCGCGCAGCAGCGGCTGGTGACGCGGCCTGCTCAATCTGCTGGCTGTCATCCAGCTATTCCAAACCCAGCTTCATCCACCAACCCCTCACGATTCAACACCATCACGATCATCATCAACCATTCATTCCTTCTCGATAACAAACCTCAACACCATCTTAATCAGGAAATAGTATCCAGCAACATCCACAAATCACACGCTTACTTGGCCCTTTTTTGCAACGTTCACGACGTAATTTTCCTCAAATCCTGATTTGTCACTTTCATCTTTTAATCGTTCGATTTGAAAACCTCAATTAGGCACAATGTCTTATCACACTCAATTGACCCTTTGATTGACACCTGAGTGATTCCTTTAAACAAGACATGTCCAAATCAATACCCCCCTTCTGAGAGTTTAACACTTCCAAATGTGATAGATAGAGGATGAGTTATTTTGTAGTACGTAGACAGAATAGAATCTCAATTTAGTAAGAAATGAACGAGAAAAAATAAAGTATGAGATCAAAGAATGGATGTGGTCCTCTATGATAAAATCACTGAAAATGGTCAACAGGAATTGATGACTGGGGTCCAAACTTGTTGCCTTCCTTTTCCTCACAAGATCATTTTGATCGTCATTCTCCTTGAAAGAACAATCGACCAAGGCTCATAAGCAGTAATCGATTAGTGTTCAATTATCCTCACATGAGCTCTGAAGGACACTCCATTGGACACATGTATCATGAGATCTTGTCTTGATTTTCATCAAATACACACTTTTTCTCCAACAACGGAAATGCTCATATTGATTGATAAATGAATAGTAGTCTAGAAAGCGTCAAACCGAAATGAATCTTTTTGAAGTGAAAAGGTCATGAAGAATGAAAAAAAATGAATTTGGAAGCATTAGTGCTGATGCACACAAAATTCAAGCTGCTGGAATATCGATTCTGAATGTGTTTTGAGAGCAGGTAAGATTGGTGTTGGTTATTGAGAAGGAATGAATGATTGATGATGTTTGTGATGGTGTTGAATCGCGAGGGGTTGGTGGATGAAGCTGGGTTTGGAATAGCTGGATGACAGCCAGCAGATTGAGCAGGCCGCGTCATCAGCCGCTGCTGCGCGTAGCAGCTGCGGCGAAATTCGTGTGATGAAAATGTGCCAGGGGTGACAACATTTCTAGCAAATGTAATATCCATTGGCGTCTTGCGCTGAACAACAAAATAAACACGAGTTACTTTCGAACTTATCACTGCCCAGATGTGGTAAAACAATGTCAAGTATTCATTGTACAAAGATCGAGAACACCTGGGGACAACACGTTTAAAGCTTCAGAATGTGAATACCGATAGCCTAGCCTCAAAGTACATCAGTATCAATTATCTTGATTGCGCAGCCATCGAATTCTCGGCATGAATGAGAGAAAGTGAGATTGATTGATAACTGATTTGCCATAATTTCACCGTAAACGGATGTTACAACATAGATGGAATGAAACAAAACTGAATGTTAATACAAATTAGGCCTAACGTATAGGCTCTACTGCAGCCTTGTCTTCTTCCTTGCTTGCAACAGCCTCAACGGATTCGAGCCTAATGGACCGTGTTGTTAGTTTTCAGTCAGGATACAACTAGCAAAGCGGAGGTTTAGGCTTACGGCGTGGCTTGTTCCTATATGACCCAGTGTGAAATGATTGATAATGATCAAAAACAATTAGATAAGTTCATCGCGTGACTAGAACACAGACAGACTGACCGTGACATCTTCCGGGTTGGCACAGGCTCCGGTAGTAGCTGAACCGTCATGGATGAGATTGCAGCGATAAATAACTGCGAGAGCGAAGTATTATCAAGTAACGTCACACTCACAACAATCATTGGCTTCAGTAGCCGATAAGGTCCCAGCACCTGCTGTCTTCTCAGCTCCAACAGTCTCGGCCACGCAATTCGAAGGCGAGACTTTATCATCTTGTTTGGGTGTTTCAGATGGTAAAGTTTGTTGGGCAGGGTCGGCCTTGTCCTTTTCAGCGCTTTTACCGTCGGTAGGCGCTTGCGAATCCAGAGTAGGGATATCCTTTTCGGTTGTTTTCAGTGGTCCATCTAACACTTCACCATCGGTTGTATCATCTCCGTCCACTTTTCTTCGCTTGCGACGTTCAGATTCGGGAGTAAGTGGCTGATCTTGAGCAGTAGCAGTCGATTCCTCGACCTCCGCCGTCGCAGCTCGAGCACGTTTCTCTTCTTTCAAATTAGCCTTCAGCTCTTCCACGTCTCTGATGATGGTTGGCGCGGTGACTGGAGTGGTTTCAGTCAGGACAGTGGAGCCGTTTTTGGGTAGGTTCTCGGTTGAAGACTGGTAGCAGCTGGGTTAGTGATGGAGATATGTTAGATTCATATTCGAGAGGAAGGACATCATACCATATTGAGAAGAACAGTAAGAATGGCAGAGCTTGAGCGGTTGAGAATAGAGCAAAAGTCAAGGCGGACAGAACTATGTATTCAGATGCAATGGACGCGACTGCGAAGTTTGGGTAAGAGACTAGCAAGAAATTTTGGCGCGACGCGATTCAAAAGAGGAGGAGAAAGCGAGGGAATGAGGAGGGGGAACAGGTCTTCAAGATTGTGGCCCTCAAGTGTGCTCCTTATATCATGCTCGCGAGCCCACGCGTTCAACATCGGTCGAGTTTATTTAAGCGCGATATGCAGTCGAATACACATAGAGCAGTACAAAAGGGGGACCTTCCCTACAATTTTCCCTCATCAGTCATCCCTTTCCGCCTCGCTTCGCGCGTGTGAATTTACTGTATGATGGAATATCTACCCCCGCATTCATAAATATGCTCTGGTAGGAAACAGCGGAGAATTGACATAGTCTGTTTTGTAGTCAAGAGGATGTTATGTAGCAGCATATAGCAGGTGTGAGAATAAGAACTGCGTGCCAATTTCTCCACACCATATACTCCCGAAATTTTCATCTAGACTAGAGTGGGCATGCCTCAGCTTAAGAAAGTCCCACACTTTTGCTTGCGACCCGAGCCCCAGCAAGGGACTTACGTCAAACTTGCACACAGACAAAGGTCAGCAACAAGAGTTTGGCTGGGGAGGTCCTTGCAAGCTTTCTCTACCTTTTGTTCACCAAGAAATACTGCCAGACCCACAATGAACCTTGTGTATGGTAGTCTTGCGCACAATGTACACTATTTTTTCACCAGGAAGTTACATCCTTCTTTCCTAAAAAGCTCCCCAAAGATTGGCACTCAACAGCAGATATCACATGTAACTTTTCTCTTGGGCCCTAGATAAATTGTTGAGACCCAATCTTTGAGGGACTGTTTTGCAAGAATAATTCAACTTCCTCAGGAAAAAAGTGCAGATTGTGCACAAGATCACCACACACAATGTTCATTATGGTTCCTGCAGAATTCCTTGGTAAATTATAGGTACAGAAGACTTGCAAGGACATCAGGACATCCCCACCCAAATTCCTGTTCCTGACCTTTGTCTGCAGGCAAGTTTGGTGTAAGCCCCTTGGTGGGGCTTGGTTTGCAAGCAACAGCATGCAGTTTCATTCTTAGTTCTACAACATTTTTTAAACCATGATTGTAGGTTCTTTGGGTGGATAACTCCTGATTTGTTTGCCCTGATCTTCATTCACACACTCAATGACTGCCTTACTGATATCAGTTGTTGCTGTAGGACAACAATCCGCATAATGCAACAACAAAAGAAACCTAGAGAAACCATGAATAAACACTATGCCAAATCATCAATTTACCACTGAGTTAAAAAATCAAGAATGTAGAAAAATTTGAAAAATAATGGTTCAATCCATGTGTGTTGTCCCCTCATTCTGCATATTTTTGCATATTTTTGCCTTTAGTTTTGAAGATCTCCTAAATCAAAATGCTCACAGGAGATATCAGGGCAGAAACTCAAATCTGGTCCAAAACTAGCACCATGTGGGCAAAAACCTATTGAAGTCTGGTTTTATCACATACACTAGTTACCATCCCAATAATCCTACTCAAGCCATGTCCTCTAAATTTTTTGTTCTTGTGTTCTTTTGTTCCACAATGATTATACCTGTTGTAACCATTCCCAATGTGGTAAATGACAGTCACAAAACTTATGTGTGTGTCAAACCTATGGCTAGAGAGTCCTTCACTATACAGAGACTTGTTGTTTGCATGTTAATTATTTTCCTCACTCAAACAACTTCTTTCTGTATTTGTGCCACCTTCCAACAGGTGCCTTACTCTCTCCAGTCACTCATACATGATTCATAGCCAGCACGCTTACCTACATCACTACTTTGGAATTATTTCCAGACACCTTCTGTTTCTGATTTTATCAAAACCTTTGATTGCCCAAAAATATGAGAATTCTTGTTGAATTGTTCAAATACTTGCAATTTATGAAAGCCACATAATGGGTCTACAAAGTTCATTAAGGTGCTGAAGCCATTGAATTTGTAGGAATTCTTTCTATGCTTATATCAAGGGTGCAACTATACTATACTATACTATACTTGACTATACTGGGTATAGTATATTTCAACTATACTATACACTATACTGGGTATAGTATATTTCAACTATACTATACCAAGTATAGTTCAAGTATAGTATAGTTGGAATATACTATACCCAGTATAGTATATTTCAACTATACTTCACTATACTTCACTATACTTCACTATACTTCACTATACTTCAGATACTTGACTATACTTTAGATACTTTGCTATACTGTATATACTACCTTATTTTGTCAATCATTTTTTCATTTTTTCATTATTTGTTGTATCATTGCATTGACTAGACAGTAGTTTATTGGATGGTTGTCTTTTACCGTGAATGATTCAAATTATTCAAAGAACCAACCAAGTCACTGCTGGTGCAATTCACTGGTTCATTTTTGGCTTTGTCAAGAAATTGCTCAAAAGATCAAACATACGTGTATGATGTATTGGTGAATACTTGACTATTTATAGTGTATCATTGGTTTCTTTACTCATTTAGTTGAATTCTTTGTCTAGTAGTTTGTAGTTTACAACTTATGATTACACAATTTAAACACAGAACCACCACATAATTTACTTATGATTTCTTGCAGCTTCCTCCTCCGCTAAACACAGAGACATTGTTTCTCCAGCAAGCTCGAACTCTTCAGTTAATCTGACCATTTGAGCTGTCCAAAGACAGGTACTCACTGAGCGCTCAATGGTTCTGGGCAGAAGCCCACCTCAATTGCGGTCACAGATGTCAGCTGCAGTTGAAAAACTTTGTTCAACAGGGCAGGAAGTAGCACTTGTAGCAAGATAATTGCGTGCCAAACTTGCGAGTACCGGATATCTAGACTTATTCATCTTATCATGAGGATAATCAGATAAGCACATTAGACCAGGATTAAATCAATAAGGAACCGAACTTACATTCCACCATATCAGAGCCTTCTTGGGATCAAGATCAACCTCCTTATCTGGGGCATCATCTGCTCGAAGCCATTGAGCAAGCTCGTCCGCAATTGGTTGTCTACCATCTTTGCACCTCAGATTGAAAATTTCATCATCAGAATCCTCGCTATGTTCTTGTTGATCAAGCAATGTTTGCTCTTGAGGATTCTGAAGTGAAAGTGAAAGTTCTCTGCAAGAAAAATGGGTTTTGAGTAGCTGAGTTGCCATCTTGAACTTGGATGAATTTGAGCCGAATGCAGTCGAAAAGAAATGGGTTCGCCAACTTGGGTGTAAGATAGTCGCCATAACAATTGTTTCACACTCAAGTGCTTCATTAAAGTACTTCTCAACACTAGTCAGCATGGCAAGGTACATTGGATATAATGTGTCAGTGTGGTTGCTCTTTGAAATCTTCTTCTTAAGGTTCTTCTGAAGCTGATAATACTTTTGAAGTACCATGCATCCAGTTGGTCCATCACCTTCCATATCTTTAGTTAGGTCAGCATAAACCTAAAGGAAATATATCAGTATGGGTACAGATTGATTGAAAATTTGTAAAACTACTCACTTTGAGCTCAACATTAAGGGCTCGAACAAGCTTCCAATCATCTTGACTGAAAGTGATTTTCTTGAAGATACCACGCTGATGGTTCAAGATAGGGTCATGAATAAAGCTTTTGTGACCCCCGTTAGCGGTGGTATTGGTACACTGACTGTCCTGAGGGCGAGGTGCCTCTGATTGATCTTGCTTTAAAATTTCGTCAATCACCTACAACAAAAGTGGTCTATAATCAACCAAGGTGGGATATATTCAAAAGGAACAAAATAAGCTTACATCACGAGCCTCCCATGCACGCTGATGACTCTCCCACTTGATATTCCAACAAATACCGTAAGCAGCCAGTAGATCACGGACAGTCAATTTCATTGCTTTGGCAATTGATCGGAAGTATAGACGATTAGCTGCAGATCCTGTTATCTTGCGAAGTACAAAATCGAGCTAAGATCAAAGAGTGCGTAGATAAGCTTTAGAACCTGATCAGATTTTGTGAATTCAAGAAAACTCTTACCTTCTTCAAGACACCATTCAATCTCTGTGCACGCGCTCGATCAGAAATAGTTAATTCATCTGCTTGAGCTTTTGCTTTCAGTCTAGCATCTCGTCTTGAATCTCGCCAAGCCTGAATATCAGGGATATTTGCATTGTTTTCAGAATCCTCTTCGGCATTGGCATTGGAATGAGAATCTTCTGGAGGGATCAATTCATCGTCATTCTTGGATAGACAGCCGTAATCTTCAAGCTCTAATTCAGGTTGATCGGCAATGTTGTTGAAAAAGGAAGGGTCAAGAGTTCCATTTAGCTCAAGCTCATCATGCTCAAGTTCAAGTTCAGTCGGATCTGGGTCAAGTTCAGTCAGATCTGCTGGAATTACAGGTGGGTTAGACTTGGCAGCTATGATTTCGTCCTCTGATTCCTCTGGAATGGTCTGTAAGTGATTGTCGAGTGGAAATTGTCCTCGGGCAAGATCTTGAACGCTTTTTCCAGTCCGACCTTGAATGCCAAGAGCTGCAAGGCCATTATTGACAACAAGTGCAATTTTGTGCGCGAAGCACCGGACATGCATAGTGTTGGGATTCCAGGAATAATTCTTGTTTTCGCTCTCAGCAATTGATTCCAGAGATTTCTGCATTGCAGCTGCCATTGTATTGTTGTTAGACCCAGAATCAGTGGTCTGAGAAAGCATGTAGAAACAGTAACACATATATAATCAGATTTGGTAAAGGATTTAAAAAGACCTGGGGAAGAGAATTAATGTGGAAGACTTATCTGTGAATATAGGCCATTCTTCTGCAAAAAGTTAACCATTGGAGCAGAGAGCCATTCCCCTTTGTGATACCACGATATGAGCTTGAGACCAAGATGATGGGAGATATAAGTAAAATCCTCGCCAATGTATGAGACCAA